TAGAATTGTGGACGAGAAATTTCCTCTTTTTTTTAAGTGGGCGCACCTCGATATCTTGTCGGTTCTGAACTGACCCTGACTTGGATAAGAATTACGAAATCACCAGGAATGGGGAGGAAGTGATATGTTCACTCTCATATTTTATTGTCCTTTCTCGGACCGCGGTCGGAATGGAGTGCGATGGTAAAGGGAACAGGGAGTGTAGCTATCGATTTGGAGAGCATAATCGACATTCATGAGACTTAATAATGTTTTATAAGGAGGTATCTAGATAAAGGACGTTTAGGGGTTGTTTGTTTCACCAGTTTATAGAATAGGATTAGTATTTGGGGTCTGACAGTGGCAATTTGGTAATTTTTAGATTTTTGTGAATCTTATTCTGGAGTTTGGCTCAGCCAAAAATTTGGGATTACAATATCCATAAAGTAGCTACAGCTCGGGTTTTTTATAGAAACCCAAATCGGAAGAAATGCAGCAGATTTGGGCGAGATTTCTGACAGGGAGCTTGTTCGTCGATTCCGATTCCTAAATCACGAATTCGATCCCTAGATCTGGAATCGCTATTCTGCTCCCGTCTCATCTGCCCTCTTCTTCGCGCCTCTTCTTCTTCTACTTGGGGTCGGGGCTGTTACTCGAAACCCTAGCTTTGTTTTCCACGAGCTTGTTGGTGGGTTTCTTGCCTTCGATTCTTGGTGATCCCTTCTCGATCTTGTTCTGCTACGAGTGTGATTTGTTGGCTATGGTGTTTTGATTAACTTCGGTGGGTTTTTTGCTTGGACGTCGGCATTTTGGAACTTCATCAGCTAGGTAAAAAATTTTGCCCTCTTATTTTGACTTATTTCTCCAGTGATTTGAGGAATTAATTGTAATTTTGAAACAACCAAGAAATAGAATAGAATAGCAATTTCAATGATTTAATAGATTAATTTCATAATCTTACAGTAAAACAATTCAATCGGGTGTTTGTGTACTGGATTTTGTTGTTAATGTGCAAGAATTAGTTTGTTAGATAGATAAACGACATGAAAATAGAATAGAAGTTATTTTTCTATTTTCGCTTTCTTGCACAAATCTTTCATAAATCTAAATAAGGCCCTCAAATAATTAGTTAACATTGCATTGTACTGAAATTGCTGTTTTTTTTTCTTTTATTTCCTTTTTTTTGTGTGTGTAAATTATTAGTAATCTAACCATATAGTTTGTTTGTTTTGGGTCTATCTTGCTTCTTGATAATTGTGTGAGATGGAATGCAACATTAGTTAAAATAATTTCTATTTCAATTAGATTTCTTGCTTTAAAAGAAATAAATATTTGTATCAATTATCTACTTAATTTTGACAAGAAATAAGTAGCCATCTTAAGCTGTAACTGTATGATAATTTTAAAACGGTTGTAGATGGATATGGAAGATGAGGAAGAATTGAAGAGGATGTGTGCTAATACAGCTGTCTGCGTCGTGGTCACTTTGGTAACATGTATTTTGAGAATGCGTGCTAAGTGCAAGAGAATATCAAATTGTTCGCAGCAAGAAAGGATCAGAAAAATTTATTGTAGAGAGGCTCACTTCAGACGTGTACTGGAGGGCTATCAAGATAGCTGCCAATCTTATATTAGAATGAGACCGAGGGTCTTTTTTAAACTTGTTGAAGTAATGAAAGCAAACAGTTTATTAAAAGATACAAGACACGTTCAAGTTGAAGAACAGCTTGCTATGTTCCTGAGTATTATTGGGCACAAAACTAAAAATAGAATAATAAGAACTGAGTTCATAAGATCAGGGGAAACAGTTAGCAGGTATTTCAATAAAGTCTTGCAAGCAATGAATGGATTACGTGATCGGTACATGAAGCAAGCCCCAAAAGAAGTTCCTGAGGAGATTGCAAACAACTCAAATTATTTTCCGTACTTTAAGGTAAATTAAATACATACAACTTAATAATTTTCCAAATAAACTTTTTTTTATTTAACTATGTATAATTTATAATTTTTTATAGGACTGCATTGGTTTGATAGATGGCACACACGTCGACGCGGTGTTACCTAGTGACCTAGTTGCACGGTTTAGAGGGCGAAAAGGGGTCACCCAAAACATCTTAGCAGCCTGCACCCCCAATAAACTATTTACTTATGTCTTGGCTGGCTGGGAGGGGGCAGCAAATGATTATAGGGTATTACAAGACGCCCTGTCCAGACCACAGCCTTACGGGCTCCGAGTTTATGATGGTATTCATTCTCACTTGTGCACATTATAGAAAATATACTAAATACTTGGCAATATTTGAGATTGTAAAATATTGTTTAATTAATGTAGGTAAATATTACCTATGTGACGCTGGATACACCACAATGCCAGGTTTCATATCCCCGTATCGCGGTGTCCGATATCATTTAAAAGAGCACACCGGTAGGACACCAAAGAATAGGAAGGAGTTGTTCAATTTAAGGCATTCATCTTTAAGATTAAAAATTGAGTGCACATTTGGAATACTGAAGAATCGGTTTAAAATTCTTGCGGCGAAGCCGAATTATCCATTTCCCACTCAAGTGGACATTGTACTAGCGTGTACTGTGTTGCACAACTTTATTGCCTTGGAGGATCCGGATGGTGATATTTTAAATAAAAATGTTGAAATTGATGAGGATACTGGGGAAGAGACAAATGAGGACGATTCAAATGTGGTGGACTATACTCAAACTAGGTCACAAAGAGAGGATCGAGATGTTAGAAATGAATGGAAGGAGTTACGAGATCAAATTGCTTGGGCGATGTGGGTGGATTATTGCGCAAAGTACAATGGTGGTAACACAATGGAGAGCGGTTTAACTTAGTGTGGTATTTGTCCTATGGCTATGTAATAACTTGGTGAATTTTAACATACTGTTCGCATCGATATCGTTTATTGTTTCTTTGCTTGTAACAAACCATTACTACTTTTATCACTTGCTATTTTGTTATGTTGTTTGAACTAGAAATATCATCGTTTACTATATTCCTTGCTAAATGCATACATATCCCATATTGTTTTATATTTCTTTATTGTTAATATGGCTATGCTTACAAAATATATTAGGTATGGCTAACAATCCGGCAGATAAGCAAAGCGTGCCTTCTCATTCGAATGCAATGCCAAATCCTACATCAGGGATTAACATGAACTACATGCCTGTTCCACCACAGCCATTCACCTCACCTCCGCATACTTTCTCATCATTCCCACCATGGGATGGTAATTATGGTGGGATGACACAGCCGCCAATGTCATACATGAGCTTGTTAGGCAGTCCACAAGGTTTGATGTTTCCCACAACCAGTTCTCAAAGTAGTGGACCTAATCAATTTTCACCGAACACTGGTGATACAGGTGGAAAGGATATTCATGACGTTGATGGTGCGGAGCACACTTCGCCATTGAAAAGAGGGAAAAGATTAGCCCATAAAAAAAAAGTTCTGTGTGCCAGGTTGAACTCAAGAGGCGTGGCTAATAAGTTTTGGCTTCCAGAGCACGATGATGTGCTTATTCCTTATCTTGCAGATTTAGCATTGGATGGCATGAAGCCAGACAAGAACTTCAAGGCTGAAGCTTATAAAATGGCTGCCATGAAAATCAACATGCAATTCAGGACCGATTTCACTCACCTGCATGTCATTAACCACTTGAAATGTTTGCGGAACAAATTCAATGACATGAAAGCTTGCCTTGATATAAGTGGTGCTGGGTGGGATGAAACAAGTAAAATGATTACATTGGATGAGGAAACCTTGAAATCTTGGGCCCAGGTATAACAATTCAGCATCTATCTTGTCACATTCAATTTAATACATTTGATTCTCTGGATTTATAAGTATTTATTATTGCAGGACAAATCCAATTCTAAGTACAAAGCATACATAAACAAACCCCTTCCTCACTTCAAAAATTTACAAGTTATCATGGGTGATGATCAAGCCAAGGGTGATTTTGTTAGGCCCGTGTACGCTAACATTGGGTCTAGTAGGTCCATACCTATTCCCGATGATGATTGCGAGATTCTAGAGGAGAGTGAAACTGAACCACAGTCTGATGCTTGCAACCAACCACGTTCTGGTGCTGTTAACCAATCACAACCCACTAGATATAAGACTAAGAGTAAAGACAACATGACTTCATCATCTAACAAAAAAACCAGAAAATCTAATCGTGAAGAGGAAATGCTGTGTGCCTTTGTTGAGTCCATGTCTCAGTCAATGAGGAATCAACACGTTATACACTGGACTGAGCAGTTGGCCACAGCGTTGAATGAACATAGGTCTGAATATTCCGAGGAGTTCCTCGATAGGGTTTTAGACCATTTATATGACAATGAACGTGAAGCTAGGAGGTTTTTCATTAAATCTAAGGAAGGTCAACAGAGGTACATCACAAAATTAGTTAACGACCAAGGTTGGCCGGATAGCTAGTTTGTTGGAATTCGATTATATTTTGATGGATATTGTTGTGTTAATTGCAAACTATTAATGTTGCAATATGTATTTTCACTATGAAGAACATCTATGTCGTTGTGGGATTGATGAATTGGTATATTTGCAATCTTTGTTGCAGGTAAGGTTGTGGAATGATCTATGAGTTCTATGAATTTTGCCTTTGCTTTTGATATCAGGTAAGCTTTCTGCAGCTCATGCTGCTGCTGCTGGTTGGTTTGTTGCTGGTTTGTTGCTTTGTGCAGCTCATGCTGCTGCTGGTTGCTGGTTTGTGCCTGTTTTGAACACTTTGTGCAGCTCATGCTGCTGCTGCTAGTTGGTTTGTGCCTGTTTTCACCTTTCTGCAGCTCATGCTGCTGCTGCTGGTTGGTTTGTTCCTAGGTTTGTTGCTTTGTGCAGCTCATGCTGCTGCTGGTTGCTGGTTGGTGCATGTTTTGAGCTTTGTGCAGCTCATGCTGCTGCTGCTGGTTGGTTTGTTACTGGTTTGTTGCTTTGTACAGCTCATGCTGCTGGTTGGTTTGCTGG